TGTGAATGTATATATATATATATATATATATACAAACCATCAGTAGACAACTATCATGTGAATGAGTGTGTGTGTATATATATATATATATATATATATATATATATATATATATATATATATATATATATATATATATATATATATACAACCATTAGTAGACAATCATCATGTGAATGTGTGTGTGTGTGTATATATATATATATACACAACACTCAGTAGACAACCATCATGTGAATGTATATATATATATATATATACAACCATCAGTAGACAACTATCATGTGAATGTGTGTGTGTATATATATATATATATATATATATATATATATATATATATATATATATATATATATATATATATATATATATATATATATACAACCATTAGTAGACAATCATCATGTGAATGTGTGTGTGTGTGTGTATATATATATATACACACAACCATCAGTAGACAACCATCATGTGAATGTATATATATATATATATATACAACCATCAGTAGACAACTATCATGTGAATGTGTGTGTGTGTATATATATATATATATATATATATATATATATATATATATATATATATATATATATATATATATATATATATATATATACAACCATTAGTAGACAATCATCATGTGAATGTGTGTGTGTGTGTATATATATATATACACACAACCATCAGTAGACAACCATCATGTGAATGTATATATATATATATATATATACAACCATCAGTAACAACTATCATGTGAATGTGTGTGTGTGTATATATATATATATATATATATATATATATATATATATATATATATATATATATATATATATATATATATATATATATATATATATATATACAACCATTAGTAGACAATCATCATGTGAATGTGTGTGTGTGTGTATATATATATATACACACAACCATCAGTAGACAACCATCATGTGAATGTATATATATATATATATATACAACCATCAGTAGACAACTATCATGTGAATGTGTGTGTGTGTGTATATATATATATATATATATATATATATATATATAACCATTAGTAGACAATCATCATGTGAATGTGTGTGTGTGTGTATATATATATATATACACACAACCATCAGTAGACAACCATCATGTGAATGTATATATATATATATATGTACAACCATCAGTAGACAACTATCATGTGAATGTGTGTGTGTGTATATATATATATATATATATATATATATATATATATATATATATATATATATATATATATATATATATATATATATACAACCATTAGTAGACAATCATCATGTGAATGTGTGTGTGTGTATATATATATATATACACACAACACTCAGTAGACAACCATCATGTGAATGTATATATATATATATACATTCACGTTGTTATTTATAGATACAGAGTATTTAAGCAAATGCTCTGTTTATAATAAACAGTATTAAATAACATTTACCGGCCTGAATGTCCGAGAAATTTTCATAGAAAATTTTCGTTCTTTTTGACAGGATTCGAACCTGTATCCTATACGGAACCGTCATATACGCTGACGTGCCTTTACCGTTTGAGCTACAAAGAACCAATCGGTAGACAAGGTCGAATTTCTCGGTCATTCAGGCCGGTAAATGTTATTTAATACTGTTTATCATAAACAGAGCATTTGCTTAAATACTTGTATCTATAAAATAACAACGTTAAACATAAAAATATGTCTTTAATATATATATATATATACAACCATTAGTAGACAATCATCATGTGAATGTGTGTGTGTGTGTATATATATATATATATACACATTCACATGATGGTTGTCTACTATTTTAAAGAACAGGACCAACGCTGACTTTTTAGCGGCCATGAGTCCAGCAATGGCATTTGAAACCAGCACGTGCCTTACATACTTTTCCACAGACACTACTAACAAGACATATTACATACATACATACATACATACATACATACATACATAATGACTGGCTACCTGATTTTAAGTTTGTTCGTCTGCTAAGGTGACTAGATAATCCCAATTGCAGACACCTACTCCGGTACATTTGTATTTCTTCAAAACAAAAGTTTATATGCAATTATTCCAGTCGAATCCATTACATTCACTTACGTGCTTGGGAAAGGTATGAATCCTCCTCTTCTCTCCCCCACCAGCTGTGGGTAAACAGCAGTTTCCGACCGGGTACTATAATCTTGGATAGCAACTGGTCTATCGCAGAAAGAAATGGCTACCTACAGCGGGGAAAAAAATCTGCCCCGTCAGTAATGTATCGAAAGGTACATGATCGCCTGAGCGTGTATCACGCATGGCACATAACTGACTGATATCTGACCTCCTATATGGCAATGACTGCTGGACAATCTCCTCAAAGATGAAGAGACTTGAAATGTCGTTCGACAGAAAGATGGTGAGAATATCATTGACCGAACATATGAGCAGTGACGAAGTTTTAATTTTTTTTTTTCCATTTTGTCA